GATATGTGTATCAGCCTGATTGTCAAAGAGGTCAGTTCAGGAGCAAAATGAAATGGGGATTAAATTATTTGAAAGATGATACTTCTCTGCTTTCTGTTCACTCAAATTATACAATTGATTTCTTTTCTGATCAAAAAATATGACTGCTCTGTGTGTGTTTTGGCAGAGGAGTGGATTTTTGTATAATAAAGAAAAATATTTAGTGAAGGCTGTTAGAGTTTTGTGCTCCATTTGAAATAAGCATCTCGACTATAGGCTCATGAAGCCCACTAGTCATTAATCATATGATCTTATTGTTATCTTCCTTTCTTTTCAATTTGTTGCACTCTCTTCTGTGCCTTGTCTTTAATTATACTGCAAACTCTCTGTGGCAATCATATCTGCTTATATGCTTGTACAGCCCCTTGAATAATGGAGTCAGCATTCTCTCTGGAAGCCTTGGGTGCTACTGTAATATAAACAAACATTTTCTCCCTGCATATGCCTTTAGAAAATAAAATGTAATTTCTATTTTTGTTGGTTCAACTCAAACTAAACAGTTGGCATTAAAGCTTTTTATTCTATGAAGTTTTCCCATGCAATGCCTGATACTACAATCAGAACAGAGAGTGATAGATTTCATCCCCAGAACTTCATTCTGCTTTTAAATTGTCTTAAAATAAGGATAAGCTTCATCAATTAAATGCAACGAAAAAATCAAGACTTACAAAAATCAATGTTATAACAGGAGTTACAGCAATAGTATGATTGGTACATGGAGCAGTAAGACTGGAGGATGATGTGTTTCATTCAGATGCTGCTTGTTTACTCCACAGAAAATAAAATTGATATTTCCATTATTATGTATACAGTAAAGAGGAATGAGCTAATTCAGATGAAGAAAGAATAATTCTTTACTAAGTAAAACTTCTATAACACAACATAACCATATGATGCCTATTGATACCTATTATTAACCATTCAGAATCAAGGACCAGTGAATGTTTCATTAATGATAATAGCTAGAAAATGGCACCAAGGAATAAAAACTATAGTTGGGAATCCTATAACCTGTTCTGTCCCTTATATTAGGGGCATCTCATTCACCATATTGCAGCTATGTATATGTGCAGTTCCCTAGCTCAACAGGAATAACCACTGAAGTCAATGGAAACTCTCCTGATGATTTTCAAAGGTCCCAAAGGATCAGGACCCCAGGTTCTGTTCCTATGTGATATTTAACTAGCTGTAATAAACATGCAGGGCTCAAAGTCAAAACCTTTCTCACATCCTTTTTTTAATTTTTTCTTCCTAAGATTATATACATCATAATATAATGTAATGAATTAGGAGCTAGGGAATCTCCCAACCTTCCTTGGACAAACCCACAGAAGGTAAAAAATTACTCTTTGATCTGTCACTTACGTAGGTCAGAGGCCTCGTGCCATGAGGCCAGTGGTTTGCAGCCTATGGAGGGGGCACCCAGCATGACGCACAACAGACTGGATATCTCAAGCTCTGCAGGGAAGTCTTCACAGGCTGAGATTCATGTTAGCTGGAGTTCTGCTACTTTACTCTCCTCCATCCTGCACAGTAGAGGGGATTTTCTGGCCATTTTCCCACTGATTCCTTCCAACATTTTCAAAAAGAAATGTCAAAATGAACTGTACATATGAGCCCCAAATTTTTGTTTTGAATTGACATTTTAATAAGATTTTAAGTCAAAGTGTCAGCTTGAAAAGAAACATTTAATTTCAAATTGGCAGCCTGAAGCTAAACATTTGAGTTCGAATGAAAATATTTTCTTTCAAAGTGTCACTTTGGAACAATCATAAAAGTAGTAAAAAAAAAAATAGCCATTTTCCCACTGATTTTAATAAAACTACATTTCAAATGAAAAAAAATTGTTGGAAATTTTTTGACCAGCTGTAATTAAAGCTCAGAGAATGATGTAATTATCTAGGCACTCCAGAGATGTAAGTTAACTCAAACCACTGTTCACCAAAACTGATTTTCATCTCTTCCATAAATTAGGCAGGCGAGAATTCAAATGTTAAAATCCATTAGCATATGTAAGAATTAGCCATTAAGATAACAGATATGATTTTAATGCCTAAAGTTAAAGGGAGAGTTTCAAAGGCACAAATGGGAGTTAGGCACCTAAGCTCTCCTTCTGCATTTGAAAATCTCTCCCTTAATGACTAAAGCAATTCTATTTTTAAGACCTGATTCTGCTACCCTTACTCCTCCTCCTAATACACTGCTCTACAGCCAAAATGCTTCTGAAATAAATGTAGTCAAACTTTACTAATTCTGGGTCACTGAGAACGAAAATGATGCTTAAAATTGTTGATTGGCTCTAGTTTTCAAGATATGCTATTGGGTCAGTATATACGACCCTTGACTTGGGAATGGCGGAGGATAAGTGAGTTATAAAGGGAAGGGATCTCAATTTAAACCAGAAATGACTAAAATACATCTTTGACTGGATCTATGGATAAATCTATGACTGGGTTTGGACAATACTTGCTTTTTAGGCAAAACAATGAATGATGCAATCTGAAGCTGGTATTGCGTCATACCTGATATGAATTGCATCATGCTATTCCTAGAAGTCATGGATGATGCAACCATAACGAAGCTTACATCACTCTGCTGAACAAATTGCCCTATATCAGCTCTAGAAATCATACAGTGTCGTGCTCTCTTATTTGTCAGTGTTTGATTTTGCAAAGGGACACATTTCTGTTTAGCCAAAGAGAGCAGAGATGCCTCGTACTTGTGTGAACAGTGCAGATAACTTCTGCTATGTTTGTGGTGAAGTGACTTTTGGATCACAAAAGCGCAGTATAACCACTATGGTTAAGAAAGCCTATCACCTTTATTTTGGCTGCAAAATTGGAGATCAGGACAAGAGGTGGGACCCACACATATGCTGCAACACTTGTGCAACAAATCTTCGCCAGTGGTTGAACAGGAAAAGGAAATCTATGCCTTTTGCAGTGCCAATGATTTGGAGAGAGCCAACAGATCATACTAGCAATTGTTACTTCTGCATGGTGCCTCCAGTTGGGAAAGGTGTGTCAAAGAAGAAAAAGTGGACTGTGCATTATCCAAACATTCCATCAGCTATACGCCCAGTACCCCACGGAGAAGGACTGCCGGTTCCTGATGCACCAGAATCATTCTCACTTGAGTCAGACGAGGAAGAGGAAGAGGATGAAACGTCTGGTCCTGAACCATCAATGTCACAGGACCCACATTTTCTCCTATCCTCTTCCTCTGAACCACACCTCATAACACAAGGTGAACTAAATGACCCTGTCAGGGATTTGGAACTACCCAAGAGTAAGGAAGAGCTGTTGGGCTCCAGACTACAGCAGTGGAATCTCCTGGCAGGTGATGTTAGGGTTTCCATGTTCCGTGACCGTCAAAAGGATCTTGTCCCATTCTTCTTCATGGAAGGTGATCTTGTAGCCTGCAACAACATCGATGGTGTGATGGCAGCCCTCAACATCATTCACGATCCAGATGAGTGGAGACTGTTCATTGATTCATCGAAGACGAGCCTTAAAGCTGTTTTACTGCATAATGGCAATGTTTTGCCATCAATTCCAGTTGGTCATGCAGTCCATATGAAGGAAACCTATGACAACATGAAACAACTTTTGAGGTGCATAAACTATGACCAACATCAGTGGCAGCTTTGTGGCCATTTGAAGGTTGTTGCTCTCTTGCTTGGTCTGCAGACTGGATACACAAAGTACTGCTGTTTTCTCTGCGAATGGGAGAGTCGTGCAAGAGATTCCCACTACATCAAGAAAGATTGGCCACTCCGACAGTCATTGGAGCCTGGGAGGAAAAGTGTTCAGCATCCACCACTTGTTGAATCAAGGAAGATTTTGTTACCACCCTTACACATCAAGCTGGGTCTGATGAAGAACTTTGTCAAGGCCATTGACAAAACACAAGCAGCTTTCAAGTACCTCCGTGGAAAATTTCCAAGGTTAAGTGAAGCGAAGATAAAGGAAGGTGTCTTTGTTGGTCCTCAGATTCGTGAACTTCTTCGAGATGATGCATTTGACCATGCACGGCGTGGCAAGGAAAAGGCGGCATAGAAAGTCTTCCAGTTAGTGGCAATAAATTTTCTCGGAAACAACAAGGCAGACAACTACAGGTTGTTGGTGGAAAACCTCTTCATGGCATACAAAAGCCTTGGTTGCAACATGTCACTAAAGATACATTTTTTGCACTCTCATCTAGATTTTTTTCCACCGAACTGCGGAGCAGTGAGTGACGAGCACGGCGAGCGATTTCACCAGGACATTGCAACAATGGAGAAACGCTATCAGGGCAAATGGAGCCCATCAATGCTTGCAGACTATTGCTGGACAGTGACAAGAGATGCTCCATTTAATGAATACAAGAGACAAGCCAAGAAGCGCCGAGCAGACACTGAATAGGACTAAACTATGTACAGAATAGTTTTTTGCCTTTTGTTTCCTAATAAATTTTATTTATATAACCCTTTTGCTGATTTTTAAAGTGTTACATAAACAGGACAGGTGAAATATTATCATGTAAAGCAACCATAAACACATGAAAAGACCTAGGTTTACAATTTATGATTAAAACTCTACTATCTACACAATATACATAGACATAAAATGTAAAAACTTAAATATCTTAGAAACAGTAGCCAATCAGTTGTTTAATTGTCATATTTGAATTCAGCACATCAAAATACATAATAAATAGCACATTTTATCTCTGAAGCAGACGACTTCTCAAAAATTGTAGACCAGTGTAATACCAAGCTATGATTTCTTTTTATTCATAGAACTCAAAGCACTTTACACAGGAAGAATTGTTATCTCCATTTTATAGTGGAGAAAATGAACCACAAAGAAGCGAAATATCATGCCTAAGGTTACTCAACATGTCAGTGGTAGAGCTGGAAAGAGATCTCAGGTCTCCTAAGTCCTAGTTCAGGGCCATATCCATTGAACCACACTGCCTTACTCCAGTCAGCTAAGGGGGGTTGACTTGTGGAGTAAGTTAGTATTCAATATGACTAAGAATGGCAGAATCAGGCCCTACATTCATTCAGGTACACCTATGAAAAGGCTTCTACACAGAATACAGGAAAGGCAAGTTGTTACTCCCAGTTACTGGTACTGAACAATTCAGAAAATCACTGCACTTATTCAGGAATATGGATAAGGGAGGCTATAAGGTGAGGGTTGGGAAATTAGTGAGGGTCTATCAAGATAAGCACTTGGTATTTCAGAGGTGATATACTGGTCCTGCAGTGTGATGAAAGAGGAGATTGGAGTTGAAGCAAATATATCAATATAATTGACACTTTTTGTGCTTTATTTTAGGGCAGATCCGTTATTGGCATTTATAAAATACAGCAGAAGAAACAGATTCTGTTAGATGCAGGTAAAGAAAACTCATCTCTTTAAACCACAGACTGGCTTGGGGTTGGTATGCTATCATAATCATCTGAATACCGCTCATACTGGTCAGTGAGAAGAGGCTGATGCAATTCATCCTTGTTTTTCCTAGCGTGCACAATACATGTAGCACCAGCAAAAATAATTGCAACCAGAATCAATGCAGTCACTATTGCAATAGTTATGATCTCTGTGACCTGCAGAGCCCGGCCTAGTGGAAAGGAAGCAGGAAGACAAAGAGAGAGGAAAAAAAAGTTAAGCCTCAAGAGATACAGCTGAAAATTAGATCAAATCTCAATCTCCATCATTATTTAACAAAATGCTTAAGGTTAGGTCCACTTCAGTGTCTTTCATTACAGACTTAAGATGGGCCCGAGCTACAAAGACATTTTTTTTGCAATCTGATTTATATAGGCAGACCCATGAGCCCATGCAGAACCAACTGACCTTACTGGAATTCCACACAGGCATAAAGGTTTACTTGTGTGTGGATCAGGGCTAAAGTTTGGCTCTAGATCAGAACTTCCTCAAAGCTTGGGGATGTCCAAATTTAGATCTTTGGTTCAGACCCATCTCTGTTTATGATTAATTGCATGCACAGGGTATAATAATATGGTACAATAGTCCAAATATGAGTCCTTTAAAAGCCAACTTTGGACAGGTAAACAACCTTTTGAAATGGTGTCAAATTAAAATTTCTGAAATTTGAAACCAACTTTGCTAAATGACCCACATACACACAGACACGCACAAAATGAAGAGAGGACGACACAATGAGAGTAAAGTGAAGCTTTTAACTACTTACTTGGCCATTGAACGTCATAACTGTAGCCCAGGTTTTCTGGTGCAGTAACAAACATCTCATTATTGGTAACTGGGGGCCAGAATGGCACCATGTTATACTGCCGGTTATGTCCAATAGGGGCATTCTCCAGTGGGTATATTGAAATATCTAAATTGGAAAACAAGGTTTCATTTTAATAAATAAAAATGAAAGTGATTCAAATTCTATTCAGGGCATTCTGAGAACACTTGTCTAAAAACAGGCAGAGAGGACAAAATATTTAAGGCACCCTTCCTTTATTTCACAGTGGCACCAGAGATCAAAAAGTTACATTTGAAGAGACTGAAGAACTGCATGAAACAAAGTATTATTCAAATATGCATTTTCAGAAGTGACTAGTGATTTTGGGTCCCAACTTTAGACATGGTCTGATTTTCAGAAGGTGGCTGCTCAGCTCTGGCTTTAAAGTCAGACCCTTTAAAATGTCTCAAGTTGGGACCCCAAATCGCTAATCTCTTCTAAAAGTGTAGGCCTATGTTTACGGAACTAATGATCGATCTCTTCCCATGTACAAGAAGAGATATGAGCATATAGGTGGATCTCTGGGGCCATGATCTAGTCCTTTTACTACAGTAATGAATAGTTCTGTTATGCCATTTGATGTTACTATGAACGTTGAATGTCACTAAGATTTTGAAAGGTTAGCTGTTTTAGCACAGTAACTGCCCGGTCTTGTGCTGAATTTAAGTGGCTGGGGCCTTGAATTTGTCACTTGCTGCATTAGGATAGCAGTGTGTGATCTACCTAGTCAAGTTAAAAAAGGGTCAGTTGGAGTCAGTTTTTATAGTTGGAGCAGTTTTTTTCTTCCTTATTAGAGATGTCATGGGAAATGCTACAAGATCTTGGGGTAAATTATGTAACCACTCTGTACCATCAAGATGTAGAATAACTTCCCTCAAAACATGTATGAAAAATTCTTTCTCCCTCCTTGGGAAGCAGCACAAAAAGAGCTCTGTTGTGTGGTTGCAACAGATTCCTGTGTAAGAAGTAGTGGAAGGCTGCATTGCCCCAAGTGAAGCACAATCTCCTATTTTGTGTAGACGGGCGTGAATGCCCTCTGCACTGTCCATTAGGGTGGCACAGATTTGTCTCTTGGTTCACTGGCCCCAGTCTTGCCTACTTTATATCTACCCCTTTCTGGCTCCTTTGCTCCCTGAAGGGAGCAGGCGCAACGATTGTAAATCGGCCCTTGCGTGAGTCATGAAGGGTGTGTCTTTCTTTAACATCCATGAAACAGCAGATCACAATGTAACTCAAAATGAATAGCTGGGCTGTGCACTGAGGTATTCTTTGGGCAGACAAGAAGAAATTCTCCATCCCAGGCCACAGAATGATTGTGGAACCCTGAGGCTTCAGTAGATTCCATGATTCATCCGCCTGCATTCTCTGAGATACAACGTATTAGCAAAAGTTTCTTGCCTGACCTGTGCCTGACCTACCCCAGCCACATTCCTCCACACACATAAAGGGTGGAGGCTCGATGTGGGGTAGGATTCCCTCCTTAATGAGCAGCTTTTACTAAAAAGATCCCAATGTTGTTAAATAAAATAAAAATAAATAAATAAAGATATCCTATCTCCTAGAACTGGAAGGGACCCTGAAAGGTCATCGAGTCCAGCCCCCTGCCTTCACTAGCAGGACCAAGTACTGATTTTGCCCCAGATCCCTAAGTGGCCCCCTCAAGGATTGAACTCTCAACCCTGGGTTTAGCAGGCCAATGCTGACATTTATTCCACCTTCATATCCTAACAGCAGAGGGTACTCACTGTCTACCAAGATCCAGCCGAGCTATTCTGAATGGGTAGCAACTTTGCTAAACTCATAAAATAACAAACAAATGCATCTCACCAGGATTATGTCTCCTCAGCCATTCATCAAAAACAGCGTCAGTAAATGTGTGCAAGAAGACAAAAATAGGGTCGTTTGGAGATAAATGAGTTTGTCCCCCTGTTCCATTCAAAAACAGATGAGCCAAATTATGAAGGCTGCGAACTGCCGGATCATACTTCCCTGAAGGATCACTGTATCCTGTGTATACAAATAAAGAGGAACACAGTGAAAATCCTAGTGAAAAACTTGTTCCGAAGCAGCAATCTAGGCTGGATGCTATTTTCTCTGTTGCCTTGTTTTAATATAGTTGACTTGCTCCTTCTCTACCTATTGATATTTTAAATACGTGGCTGCTGCACCCCGAAAGTATGTCATTTTCAGACCAAAATAATCTTTGCAAAAGAATGCTGTGAGTGTGGAATGAGCTTGCTTCTGCGTGTCACGGGAGCAAAGTGGGATTTAACACAACAGTGGCAACAATAAATCATTTTCTAGCATGCCACTGAAGCTATAGTTTTCAGTTCTAAATGGCTCTGGACATAATTGAAACCATCCATGCAGCCACTATCTGCTGACACAAGTGTGACGATGCTACCATGTATCCTAATGGGCCAGCTGTTACTTCAGCTTTCCACATGTCTTTTACACATTGACTGCCAACACACTGACTTTGGAAAACCACCTTCTGGAGTAGTGGTCTAAGATTTCCCCTAGCATCATTAGCACTTAACATCTGAAAAATGTGGTGTCGGAGGGTTTAAATCATCATGAAAATTCCTCCAATTTATAAATCTGGGGCAAATTTTTCAAACTTGGGTGTATAAAAATAGGTCTCCAAATCCATTAGGTACTAGATAGTGGTGGCCAGTTTTTCCAGAGATGCTGAGCATCCACAGCTCTCAATCACTTCACATGTTCACCCAGATCCCAGTGATGTATTCTTCAAGATAAACACTGAGCCAGATCCTCAGCTGTTGTAAAATAGCATAGCTTCACTGGAGTTAACGGAGCTAAAACGATTCACCCCAGCTGAGGATCTGGCCCATTCTTTGGAAGTTAACTGTTTGGTAACCTATCATGGTTACTAGCCTGGTCTGGAATTAATTCTTTGGAGTTTTACAAAGAAGAAGAGTTAAGTTGAGCAGAGACTAAAGCACATGGGTCCAATTTTCAGATGTACATGCCCAAATCCTTTTTTGTATATGCATTTTAGGTGCTTCTAAATTAAAATTTCACTCTGAATTTGATTTGTAGAGTTAAGATAGAGGCTGGTTTATATGGCCCAGTTGGGGTAACAATTGATAGAGCTCTGCAAATCTGTGGATATCCATTTTATATCTGCAGATATCCACAAACACGGATGCAGGTGTGTATGCAGATATCTGAAGACCATGTTTGCAGATCGGATGCGGATACAAGTTTTGTATCTGTGCAGGGCTCTAATGATTGATCTGTTCACTTGTTTATCCTGTGCATCAGCCTCCATTTTATCCTAGCATCATTTTCTGTGTCTGTACAGCACCAAGCACACTGGGGTTCTGGTCTGTGACTAAGGCCTTGATGTTCTACAGTAATAGTAATTTCATTTAATATTAAAAGATTTTTTCCATAGCTTTGCTGACTCAGCTACCAGAGTAAATGTACTGAGCAGATGTAACCATTGGGGTATCCTTACTAGATGGGTGCCAACACTGCCTCGTTATTCCACAGGCGAGAAGGGCCACCCTTTCACAATTGCAAGCTGGTAGCAGCAGAGCTATACTCAGGGCCAGCTCTTCTGCCACACCAATTTTATACTCAGCACACCAATGAGTGTGGGGAGGGAAATGGGGCTTTAAGCTACTTTCCCATCTCCCTCCAGTCCTGGCCAATGGGGACCAAAATGACTCTCTACATAATTTAGAACTGCCTATAGGCTCCTCGCCCTTTGTGGCTTCATACACATCCTAAAGGAAGGGGTGAAGAGTGAGAGTGGGTAGTGTAGAGCCAGCTACACCAGCTTTATGCCACCCAATGGGGAATCCTTGGCTGCCCCATTAGGGCAGTTTTCCAGTTCTGAGACAGTACAAGTGGCTGGAGCCAGGACCAAGGATTTGACCCTCTGTATCTACCAACCTATGATTTATGCAGGAAATGTACAGGCCACTTCCATCTATCCAAGCTGTGAAGATCATTTTAATCAAGGATCAAATTCTGAAGTCCTTACTCGGGCTGTCAATTAATTGCAGTTAACTCGCGATTAACTCAAAAAATTAATCACGATTAAAAAATTTAATCAGTTTTAATCGCACTGTTAAACAATAGAATACCAATTTAAATTTATTAAATATGTTGGATGTTTTTCTACATTTTAAAATATATTGATTTCAATTACAACACAGAATACAAAGTGTACAGTGCTCACTTTATATTATTATGTTTATTAAAAATATTTACATTGTAAAAATGATAAAATAAATAGTATTTTTCAGTTCACCTCATACAAGTACTCTAGTGCAATCGCTTTATCGTGAAAGGGCAACTTACAAATGTAGATTTTTTTTGTTACGTAACTGAACTCAAAAAGAAAACAATGCAAAACTTTAGAGCCTACAAATCCACTTAGTCCTACTTCTTGTTCAGTCAATTGCTAAGACAAACAAGTTTGTTTACATTTACGGGAGATACTGGTGCCTGCTTCTTATTTACAAGGTCACCTGAAAGTGAGAACAGGCATTTGTCCGAGTGACTGACTGAACAAGAAGTAGGACTGAGTGGACTTGTAGGCTCTAAAGTTTTACATTGTTTTATTTCTGAATGCAGTAATTCTTTTGTTCATAATTCTACATTTGTAAGTTCAACTTTCATGATAGAGATTGTATTACAGTACTTGTTTGAGGTGAATTGAAAAATATTATTTCTTTTGTTTTTTATAACCGAAATATTTGTAATCAAAAATATAAAGTGAGCACTGTACACTGTGTTCTGTGTTGTAATTGAATATTTTGCATTTGACAATGTAGAAAACATCCAAAAATATTTAAATAAATGGTATTTTATTAGTGTTTAACAGTGTGATTAATCGTGTAATTAATTGCAATTATTTTTTTAAATTGCGTGATTAATCATGATTAATTTTTTTAATCGTTTGACAACCCTAGTACTTACTCAGGTCTCACTCTACCCTGATTTCCACCCAGGCCCACTGGGAACTCTGGGAGTTTTCTGGGGCAAAATGTCTCCTGGAGTTTCCAAGGAGTGTAGCAACTGTGTCAACCTTGAAGAGGAAGTAGTGTCCATTTTCTTCCATGCCTGGCCAACTCTACTGACTATTAAAATCAGGGGGAAAGGTCATGACCCTGGATCCTCCCACCGATTGACCAATTTATATCACAACAGCCAGCACCATCAGCAGCACTGGCTCCACAAAGCTTTTGTGTCTCCTGAGTGCAAGGACTCTCTTTGTATCTGTGCAGGGGCTCAAAGGAAAGGTGAGGCTCCCTTGCACATACATACGGGTGCCAGACAGAGTCTGGTATTCTTCAGGGATCAGCCATAAATTTGTGACAGTTATTCACTACACTAAGCTAACAAAAGTAAAACAATTTAAATGGCCAGTGTCCCATTCCAGAGCCAATACTTCTATTCACCACTGCAGGGAAAACTGGTGAGTGTGATGGGCTAGTCCCCTCACCCATTTTGTTTTGGTTCCGGGCACTTTTAGTTGTGGTACTTGCCTTCTACTGTATTACGGAAACTATCTGTTGAATTGGAATAGAAAGGAGGAGTGTCAAACAAACCAACTTCTAAACAAAGAGCAACATCCTGTGGTTCTGGGAGACGCTGAACCATTGGCCTGGCAACATTTCCAGCAGGATTCCTTCGAATTGGACCACCTTCTGTGCCTGGGAGTTTGGGAGAAGAAAGAAAGGCATGATAAAGCATGAAGCAACATTCTGGCGGAACAGTGGGCCAGATCCTTGGGATGGGCTAAACTTGACTTGATTCAGGATCCAATTTGGGGAAAGGGCAAAGACTATTCAAAGCCACCGATGTGCCCCCTGGTCCTGTGGGAGGTCGAGGGCCGGTGTATGTTAGAGCATTCAGTGTTGCTCTCACCTGTACACGCTGCAATGGCTCTTTAGGGCTGGGGATAGTTGGAGTGTAACACATTCCATTCACACCCCTTTCCTGCTCCTGAAATCCCCCTTACTTCATCAGGTCTGGGTGCAAGTGGTTAGGAATCTTCAGCAGCCTAATAGAGTAGATTTCTGATTCCTTTGAACAAAGGGGCAGGGCCAGGAGTCAATGATCTTGCTCAGTGTGCTTGTAAACCACTCAGTGTGGTGCTCTGTCCCCCTCGAGTGGTGGCTGGGCCACAGAGAGAAGTTGATGAGCAGGCTGCAGTCTTGGCTAAGCAAATGCCTTTTTTTTAAATGTCAGGCAGTAGAGGTTCATGTATTAAGACCAAGAGATCTGAGGTTCAGTCCCTGCTACTGGCTACCCACACTGGGGTACAGTGTTATGTGTTCTCCCCTTTAAATGTAGGTGTTATGAGCGTGGTTGTCCGTGTGAGTTGGAAGATATCCAAAGCTAAGAAATAACTAGATGGACACTACCACATTCAGGCGCCAAAGGTAACAAAATGCATATAACAGTATTAATTATTCTTCCAGGAATGATATACTTGTGGCTAACACATAAGAAAGGGAGTAAGAGGACTAGGTTCAGAATGAATTCTTCTGTTTCCCCTGGTTTGAGCACGTTTCCAGAGCAGCTGCTTAACCCCTCTGTGCCTCAGTTTGCTCATCTGTGAAACTGGGAGACAAACCCTTTCCTACTTCAGAGGGGTGTTGAGAGACTTAATTCATTAATGTTTGCAAAACACTCTGCAATCCTCTGATGGAAAGTGCATTTGAAAAGCAAAGGATTGTGATTATTTACTATTTATAGGACTTTTGCTCAAAAAATCTGGCAGCAGACAAACTTACTGTTACAAATGGTTCCCAAGGTATCATAGTCTTCTAGGTTTTCACAGAGCACACGCCACTGGGAGAAGATGGAGTTCTGACTTATAAGAGAGACATCAAAATTGCTTCGAGCGCCCATCAAGTCATCTGTGCAAATATTGCAGGAGTTTCCACCAGTAGCAAAATTCCAGTAGGGAAGTGCAAAAGAGGTATCCTGTAGCATCCCCTAACCACGGGAACACTATGTTAATATGGGCCTTCACTGGAACAATGTAATATCCATAATGAGAGGGATTTTCCAAAGTGAGTTAAGAGTACTGGCACCACTGAATTTCAATGAGACTTGTTATCCAAACTGATATAGATGCTTTGGAGAATCCCATCCTACATATCCCCATTGGCAAAATCAAAGTGCTACATTTGATCAACTTAAAAAAAAAAAAAAAACCCTCCCCCCACACACACACTCGTGTCCAAAAAATGTTTACCTGCTGTTGTTACAGGTAACCCCTAGGATTACCATAACTGAAAGAGAATAAAGAAAAATATTTTCCCTTAATTTCTCAGTTTATTATCTTTGGGCCTTTGATAGCACTCAGAGTCAAATTGTTGCACTGAGTCACTGAATTTTCTCATTAATAACACTGCATATGTTATCTAATTTGATCCGTAACCTGATGCTTTCCTGAAGTATTTTAGAAAGCAGCCAGATTATCTGTACTAAGAACCATAAGACATTACTGCTATCCTATTTTTTTCCAAATAATTCTATTTCAATGTTAAATATACTTAAGGATAATCAAACTTGATAGCACTGGCTTTTGACAAGCAAAGCAAACATATCAGCAAGTTGCCTTCAGTGAACTACAGGACTAAAGAGTGGTGGGAAAGATGATAAGAGGTTTGCTCTTTAAATGTTTGCGATTCAGTTCCATTTCTGATTAAAGCTGGGCAATTGTGAAATTCACTAGGACACAATTACCATCAAATTAACTTCACTAATGACCTGCTTTACTAACCTATACTAGATTAGTTTATTAACCCATTAAGGACTAGGATTTTTCAAGGATTCCATATGCAGGAATCTTATTGACTTCAGGGGAATTTCTGGTTTCAAAGTGGGTTTAGCCTTTCTGGGGGCTTAATTTATCTTAATTTATTCTTTCTTCCCCTTTGCCTTTATTTTTTAAAAATAGGGAGTCTTTCCTGATGAGATGTTCTATTCCACTTCAGGTAGGAATTGCCAGTAGACAGTCATTACCTGACTAGTAATGATCTCCAAGTTAGTCATTAATGTTTAGTTTGTGGATTGATAGTTAAATTACTTCAAACATCTGTCTATTTTAGCAACATTTCCCTCATTTATCACATGTACTATAAATCCGTTCTTACTGATACATAACACATAGGATTTGGGGATTGGAATGTACACAAGGAATGTTGAAGCTTTTAGTCTATTTCCTCCTGTCCTTCCATTCTGATGAACCCAAGAACATTATGTGAGGGCTTCAGAGATCTGCAATTAACTACACAAGACAGAATTACCTACAGCTAGTCAACCAAATATTTTGCTAGAAATCAAAGACAAAATGTAAAGCACATACTGCCATGTGCGTTCATTTAATCATCTGTGAACTGCTCACAGAAAACTCAATTTGATTATTTCCCGCCTTGGATTTTAAGAAATTATGTTTTTCTCGTATGTGTATTTATTCACTCAGGAATTTTAATAAGACAGGCAATCATAAATTAAAAACGTGAAGAGAACTGGGGGTTAGACATCTACATACTCCCTATATTCTTAATGTGATTCTGGATATCTATGGTGCTCATATTCTTTCCATGGACAAACAGTGAACCATGGATTTTCTTCCTTATATTGAAACATTTTGAAAATTAAGCAGCGGGGAACTGAGTCACTGGGACGAGCAATTGTCCATAAACAGATCTTTCTTTCTCTTATGAAGTGGTCCACAGAATGAGGAAGATGGAGAACCACTGATTTATATAATAGGATCCCCTGATTTGCTCTTTTCTCTAGATGTTTGAGCTAATCACAAACCTAGGATTTGATTCTGCTCTCACACTGCAAATCCACTGATTTTGTTGGACTTATTCCTGCTTTCGACTAGTGTGAGTCAAGAATCAGCCCCAACGATTTAGAAGCATCATTAACAATTGCCTTTATTGCATAAAATACAGAATTTAAAAGGAAATGTATAGGGAATACTGCTGTTTTTTAAAGGAAGCTTTGAGACAAATTTTATAGTTTTTTAGACTGCTATATTTGAAATAGTGTTTCTACTTTTTATATGCTCCTAGCAACCTAAAACCCATCAAATAATGTTAATATGTCTGATAATACTGGAATTGAAATTGAGTAATGGAAATCATCTAGAAAGATCTGCAATGCATCTCTCTGCATTGGAATAGGGGGGAAGTCAATCTGCTCTTTAACTGGACAGCATGGAACATGAACAAAAGCAATTTCAATATTAAGGCAAACTTCACCTGCATGTCTCTCTCCAGTTGCAGTAGATGATACCTATGCCAAGTGAGAAAGGCTGGTCCTTCATGAGAGAAATCCACTCCTCCAAAACTTTGCTGCCCTGCACCAAGGAAAGTCTTTCTGACAGAGTAATAATGGGACCACACAAAGTAGTTATAAATGGACACATTTTCAAATTGTGGTGTATTGCCATCAGGTCCCAATATCTCCTCACGTCTCCTGGTGGCTATGACAATATCAGGATGTATTGTAGCCTTGGCTTGGTGTAAGGCATTGACAAAATCATTCCTTTCCTTCACACTCAGGTCCAGAAGGTTCCTCCTAACTTTAAAGATTAAACAGAAGTCAGTTATAAAGGTAGTGAATACCCACATCTCATTTCACAAGGTCAGATTCTATTGTCCTAACTCATTATAAGTAATATCTTTTTCCTCAAGCAGCCTGGTTGTTTTAATTGGGGTCACTTTGGAGGTAAGGTGCTACTCAACATGAGAAAGGGCAAGAGAATCTGACCCATGACTAGGATGAATGCATATGGTGGAAAAAGGATTGAGTTAATGCTTTTGGAAGAGTTATCACATACTTACTTTTTATTAATTATTATTATTATTATTGTTTGTTTGTTTTAGAGTTGATAGCAGCTAGATATTTAAGGGTGAGTTCTTTGTCAAACACACTTCAAAGGTAAATCCCGTACACATAATTTTTCATGGTATCGCTTTAACATGAATAAGAGAGTGCTATATGCCAGCCTTTACATTATAAAGTTTTGCCTCCTCATATTGTATTATAACATTTTAAAAAGCCCATCACTTTGGTTGAATCTTTGCCACAGAATGCAGGAGCTTGAGAAGCAAAAACCTGGATTATATCTCTGCTGAGAAGAATTTCACCGTTTACTGGTGGAAAGAGGTCAAGTTACCTCTTGAGTCACAGATAAAAGTTCCTCTAATTTCCAGAAACAGCCACCCATTTTAGTTATCACAACTATCCTGAATTCTAAAACAACTACATTTCTATACACAGTCAGTGGTGGACACAGTGGATGAAATCCTGCCCCCACTGAAGTCAATGAGAGTTTTCTCTTAGTCTTCAGTGGACTTCTCCCAGTAACTTCATATCCAGAAAAGTGTGATTTTGATTCTTGTGTGTTTAACTAAACCCTAAACACTGTCACACACACTAATAGATATATACACACCTCTACCCGATATAACACAACCCGATATAACACGAATTTGGATATAACGCGGTAAAGCAGCGCTCCGGGGGGGTGGGGCTGCACGCTCCGGTGGATCAAAGTAAGTTCAATATAAGGCGGTTTTACCTATAACGTGGTAAGATTTTTTGGCTCCCGAGGACAGCGTTATATCGGGGTAGAGGCGTATATATATATATAAATACCACACATACACACTAACACAAAGATACCAGAAATATACTGTTTAGAAATGTTTAGACATGGTAATGTATTTAGTTACATGCACTACATTATTTGTATTTCAAAATGTTTGATCCAACAAACTATAATAGATATTTTGGAGCCAACAAAAATATATAATTCAAAATATATTATTGTATCAACCCATAGTTTAAAATTATTTGTGGTATCAATTATGGATGTGCAAACTGTAACTAATAACTGTTTTTAAACTGATCTTACAGCAGTTAATTTTACAATTCTATAAACTCATGTTTATTTCATGAGGTCTGTGTGGACCTGTTAAAAGTTTCTTTTTCTGTTTCTTGTCACTTTCAGTAGTTGGTAAAGGGCCAGAGCCAGATCAGCTGGTATAAGTTGATGTAACTCCATTGTCTTCAGCAAGCCCTGATTAATGAGCATTAATTTTTGTTTTCAGGTTGCCTGTTCAGGCATAGAGTTTGAATAAGATTTTTGGGTCTCTTGTCCTTTAGTTAAGCTTGCTTTCAGGAATTTAATTGTAAAGATTTTCAATTTGTAATCCTTATTTTAACCTTTGTTTTGGAGTGTACAGAGTATTTAGCGTTACTTTTATGGTGAAAATAAAGACAGTTGATTTTTTTGCAATAGCCACTGCTTACTTATATTACAGATCTATCACATCTTACCCACTCTAGACAGAGTCATTCATGGTGTCTAGGTAGAAACTTTTGTTTATGGTCACTCACACATATATATTTTTAGAGAATCCAGCAATTTAAACATTAAAAAAAATCCAATGACTAATGATTTTTAAACCTTAAAAGTATGTACATAGTTTAGAAAGTTAAATAAGAGAAAATATTACTGAATTCTCTCTCCATTCTTACTCACCTATGCATTTCAAACTGCCTGTTACTGACTATCAATATATTTAGGGCCTGATTTTCAGAAGTGCTGAGCACCTGCTTCTTCCATTGGGATTTATGGGTGTTCAGCACTTCTGACAATCCAAGGCATTATTGGCTGAATTGACAGCCCAGCTTAACAGTCCTGTTGCAATATAGATTTCTAAATTGGGTGTCAGGGATGTTTACTATTTAAAGGCGATAGGAAGCCAAATACACTTTACACTTAGCACTGGTGACCAGCAGAGTCTCTTCTCTATTTTTGATGCCCTTACCTGTGCGGATCTGCTGGTTACAGGAAGCTCCACTCCAGCCAGGTCGGCAGGACCCACAGTCATAGCCAGAGAAGTTACCATTGCAGCTGCAGGTTCGGTTGAAGAAGCGTAAGGGCCACTGTTCACGGTCATCTTGGCCGTCATGCATGTACTGTGGGCCATGGGGCCGTGAGTCTGCTATCACTGGTACACACTGACCCCTTCCTGAAGATGAACCACAGCGATCAGTACCAGGCCCGAACACTGGAGAAAAATCCGGACAACACGCGCCACTTCTCAAGGCATCAACCGTAGCACATTGGCGGGGGAACTGAGCTCTTGCTTGGCTGAGCAGGGTAAGGAGCAGTGGCAAGAAGAAGCGCAACGGCATGGAGTGCTGCATAATAATAATCCAGGAGAGGTGGCAAGAAGAAGCCAGCAGCCAGCACACTCTGTTCTCTTCTGTCTTGTGAAGCGCAAGCAACACTGAAGGAAAGAGAGAGAGGGAGGAGATAAAGTGATACAAAACTCCACACTATCCCCTCAGTCTCAGATCCTCCACTCACAGACTTGAAAGTGCTTCCCAAACCCTAATTCTCATTGCACTTCTTCCAGACAGATATTCTTTCACTATCACTAAATAATGTTAAGGACTAGCATCTTCAATCCAAGCATTTCTAGTGGTCTTTGACTTACCTCCACCTTTTCTGAATTAAACTGATCTAACGGTTTTGTTCTGCATTTAGTATTTCCCTGCTCTTACTGTCTGCTCCATTGAAAAGTCCGCAATTAATAAGCTATCAAACCAACTACCTCTGCCTTGTACCTTTTTGCTGTCTCTCTGAGCACCTCTTTTCTGAGCTTCTGTTTTGTCTCAATGTATTCTACAGTTGCTCCTACCCTGAACTAAACTGTTTCTGTCTGCTTGTTAATCCTGGCTCTGCCAACAGAGCTTGGCTTGGCCTATCCCCCTCTCTCGTTCTAATCTGTTTCTACTTCAATGAGTTTCCCCAGGCTTTAAGTATTTCAACAGCATATGATTTCTTTCATGCTGATCTCCTTGTGATTTTACATGTTTTAGCAAAGGTCAGAGGCAAGTAATTGAAATCAAAACAGAGCAACAGTAGAGGCTTTTATTTTTAAGGAAGGTTCTTTGAAAACAGACTATTCTTTAGACAAAGAAAACGGAGAAAGCTTATGTGTAAAGGTATTCCTTTAAATGCTAAGAATGACATTTTAAAGGGCAGGCCACAACAAAGGACACAGCTGTTACTTACACAGCAAAAGGCTGTAATTTCACACAAGCAAATAGTCCATGTTCAGCTAATCATTAACCTGCTGAGCCACCATGGTCCCACTGTAAGGAAGACAGAGCCACTTTTTCTAGGGTAATACCCCCCTTCCTGTGAAATCTAATCATTGCCACTCAATGCAGCACCATGGTCTCATCCTCAGGTTAGGTTCAGTCAAGTAGCAAGAAGTGACCCATAACTCAACCTAGCATGTCTCTGATTTTTGATGGATAGAGAACTCTCATAGCTCAGGTTTAATTTTATGGAATTTTGAGCAATCAGTCACAACGTATCTCATCTGTTGAAAATGAGCTATATGCTAAAGTTGCTTCAAGATCACTCCTGCCAGCATGGGACATATCCTGAGATTCTTCTATAATATTTACTCAGTCGTTCTCAAGTAAATTTCCCATTGACCAAAACTGACTTTACTCAGTCACCCCCTCTCTCCTGAACCCTCTCCTCACCCATCCCTGTTGTCAGGAAGAGGGGAAGTTCTGACAGGAAAAGTGGCAAATGGCATTAAGATAACATGTAACATTTTCTGGGAAACATTTCAAAGGTGGTATACCTGGTATATAGCAGAAATTGCTTCCCTATCCTTCCTTCCCTCCTGTGCATATGCAAGTCTCAAGATGAGAGCTCATTTACTGAAATTATTGTTCCTACCACTGCTAGGTAAATGTCGATAATCCCAATGGGCCTTACAACCTATGAGTCATATGACCCAGTTGAGACCCATGAACTCTGACTCATTAACTGTGACCCTCAAGTGCTCCTCTGAATTCTGCCATTTGCAGCAGACCAGGGCCAATTAGTTGTTGGGTGCTAACATTAGAAGGGCTTCCGTTATGTTCTCTCCTTTTTCACCTTGCCCACTCCCTGTCTTCTCCCTTCTAATCTATCTGCTATTTTTTTTGCAGTCAATCCTGCAGCTCTAACTCCTGAAATCCTAAATCTTGCTCCCCAAAAAGAGTGCACAGAAGTACTACTTTAGGTATTTTGGCTCAAAGTGTCTTCCCCCTATGCTGGCAGGCACAAGGCAGAGCTTTTCTACAGCCCCTCCACATGTGGATTTTGGTCAGTGGATTTATGTCCATTTCATGCTCCCAAATCTCCCCCCTGTGGACCTGATACAGAGATTGTAGCAGAGCTGCATTCTGTGGCACACCCAAAACACACACAAAAAGAACATGTGGCATCTTAGAGACTAACAAATTTATTTGAGCATAAGCTTTCGTGGGCTACAGCCCACTTCTTTGGATGCATAGAATGGAACATATATTGAGGAGATATATATACACATACAGAGAGCATGAAAAGGTGGGAGTTGTCTTACCAACTCTGAGAGGCCAGTTAAGTAAGAGAAAATTGGCCTCTCAGAGTTGGTAAGACAACTTGTTAAGTCGGTATATATATCTCCTCAATATATGTTCCATTCTATGCATCCGAAGAAGTGGGCTGTAGCCCACGAAAGCTTATGCTCAAATAAATTTGTTAGTCTCTAAGGTGCCACAAGTACTCCTGTTCTTTTTGCGGATCCAGACTAACACGGCTGCTACTCTAAAACACACACAGTTACCTATCAGCTGCCTTTTGCCTGACCTCCTGAAGGATGTTATGAAAATACATCTAGTCCTATTTGTGTTTGGATAATAATGAAAGTTGATGTTCCAGATACATTTTATCAATTATCTAGTCAATTGTCAGCTGTCTATGACCTTGTCATAAGGTATTTGCTAAGTTCCTAACTCACTTGGACTCCTAAATTGTAGAAGTGCTTTTGACAATGTTACCCTTTGACAATTACCCTAATTTATTGAGAGTTTTAGTTTTAAAGCTGGAGAAGCATAAGGCCATGCTAAAATAAGATTGCATATGCCTAACTTTCATACGGAGTTATCAGTCTTCTTGTTGACACAGTGCCTAGAATGTTGTGATACTTTATAGAAGACAGTTACTATCCACATATGTAATTTGAGTATAAGCATACACAAAGGGCCAGTGAGATGTTCAATTGGCAATTTGGGATCATGAATACTTAATTTGAAAGTGCAATTGTGCTAACTGGATTATGCTTGTGGCACACAGTCTTGAGCTTCTCAAGGTTTGAAAACCAGGAGTCAAATCCTCAATTGGTGTAAATTAAGGTAGCTCCAGTGAAACAATTGGTGCTATTATGATTTATATTAGTTAAGGCCTTAAACATCCACTCTATCTCCTTTTTTGTCTTATTCTTCCAAATTAGAATACCACATCCCACCTCAAACTTTTGAGGAAGTTCAGATCAATATCTAGATCCAAATTTCACAGCTTTCCCACTCTCTGTAAGAGGCCAAACCAATGCAGAGGATCCTAGAACAATATGTTATTGCCATTATGAAGTTTGAGAAAATTTGGATGTAGATTTATAGAAAATAGCAGTAAAACTTATAAAACTGATTAGTCCTTTTCTCCATTGATTTAAAGGGAAGTTTTGCCTGTCTAAAGATTGAAGAATTGGATCTTTTTTTAAAAAAAAAATCATTGCCAGTCTCATAGTAGTTAGAAGCCTAAATATTTACAGAAAGAACTTGGAATGTGTAAACAAATGAAGCAAGCAAAAATATGCACACAAAGAGCTAACAAGGAAAATCTATAAATTCATCAATGAAGTCCTTGCATAGCTACCTGATAAGATTTTTCTGGTAGCACTTTGGGGATGCTTCAATCTGATCAAGCAAGCAAAGCCAGAATAAAAAGTCTGTTCTCTAATGAATCTATGAACTATCCCTCCAGAGCAGAAGGCTCATCTAGGGGGTTAGCCAAAGTAGTATGACCCGTAAAACCTGCCCGCTTGGCCTACTGCTCACGTGGAGTACCCAGAACTTCAGCTGAAGTCAGTGGAAGCTGCGGGTGCTCAGCACTTTGGAAAAATCCATCCCTAACCATTCTGTGGTAGAAAGACACGTAATGGGCCACTTCATTTTGCAAAAGAGAAGCCCAGGTTATAAGGCTTTAAGGCCAAAAGTACCACTTTGATCAGCTGGTCTAACCTCCTGCATAACACAGGCCATAATATTTCCTGCTAATTCCTACTTAAAGCCTATTAATTCATGATTGAACTAGCCCCTGGCTTGTCCACATATATAAGTTTGTGCACAACAGCTGAATGTTCATCTGTCCAAGTAGCTATTGCACCTCCTCATTCAAATCCCATGTTAGTGGGCACAAATGACTATCTAGATGTCTAACTAGTCATTTATATATGCAGTCATTGGTGTCCCACTTGTCACAGGTGCTGATCACCTGCACAGTGCCCATTGACTTAAATAGGTGGTCAAGAGAATTGGGTGAAATCAAATGGAAGACTAAGGGAGATGTGGGTGCTCAACATCTTGAAAGAATAAGCTATTGTAACATCATTCAAGTGTAGGAATACACTTGGGGCATGCACTTGTGCATGTATTTTCACATATGGATTTTGGGCCTCAATTCAAAAGTAGCTGACTCACTGATTAAATTGATCCTCCTCTTTTACAAGCATATTGTCATTGGATTCATCATTGATTGTTTCTCCTGTTTCGCTGTCTTTGCTGTTCTCAGTTACAATAGATGGAAAAAAGGGTAGAGGAGGTGATCCAAGTTGTTTAGCTGGAGTTTTATGTGTGGTCCTTAATGAACACATTAATCAAATTTTTCCTCATAAAGTTAACATACAAAGTGTCACCCATGTTCAAATCCTGGGCATAATTTTTTATCATTGTCTTCATTAATCAGAAGCCCATGGGTAAGTCTCTGGGAGCATGAGCATCCTAGGCTGATTCAGAGGCTGCTACTTCATTAGATAAGAAAAGAGGAGGAAGAGGTGGAAGGGTGCATGACTTCTTCCTGTGGTTACATGGCAATTCACCCCAGGAAAAAGTAGATGGCATTGGTGTTGCCTTGTCACCCTATCTAAGGGTTTTTGCTGGTAAGAGGGCAGCCCTGGTTTATGCCAGTCCAGATCAGCATAGAAACCTTCTGGTTGCATGCCTATTGCTCCTGTATGGCTGTGATGCAGCCTCCCAAACCACCAGCTATGGTGCCTTCGGAGCTAGTGCCGCTCATTCTTTGGGATATAGAGTTTCTGGCTTGGGGCATCTGGTCAATTTGGGGCCCTTTTTCTTTTTATGCTTTTTATTTTTCTTTTAAAAGATTTTAAAGGAAATCTTGGTGACTGTACGAAGTTTAAAAAACATTAAACTAGAATAATGTCTCTGATTGTAACTTTAGATTTGGTCAAATATTTGGATGTAAATAACTTGAAAATGGTTTCCTTCAGTATTTAAAGTATAGTATGTATTACTGGAGGCCAAGGAGCTTTACTTTCAGGAAGCAGTGTAATATTCTCAGGAAGGCTGAACAATCTATGTCTCAGATGTCTGGAGAGGCCAGGGTGGCAGCAAGTGTGCCATTCAGTACTTTCCCCAGTACCTTTTTGGTTTAGAAACATGTCGTTGATTCTGCATATTTTTATTTTTTTAAATTTTTGCTTACCTGCTTTCTTGCCAGGCCTGGAACTGAAAGTGATGAAATATCACGAGCAGGCTGTGTCCCCAAGAATCAAGCCTATTTTTTCAAACTAAATTTGTATACTGTAGGATGGAAAAACTTCTGGGTGTTTGTGAAATGAACCAAACTTCAGAACAATTTG